TTTTCCTCGACACATCGGCTTTTGAATCGAGCCATTAGTTTTGGGATTTTCATACATTTTTATTTCCATCTTTATTTCCTTTACTATGATATCCTGGGGTTTAGACGGAACGACTCGAAGCAATTCGACGGATAAGATTGGAGAAAGCATCAAATTTAGAGAGAATAGGCATTGACCAACACCTTCGCAGGCACCATATAGCATGTCGCATTCCAAGGGAACGAATACACCTGATGGTGAGGGGGAAAAGGCTTAGGTGGTTAGTTCTAGAGTATATGGAGGAGGTGTGTGAAAACATGCTAGTAGATGGTTACATGGGAATGATATTTATATGATAGATTTCTATGAAGATATGGCACGGGGAACGGTGTAGGATGAGGTGAATGTGTGGGTAATAGTTGAAGTAGAGATACCCTGTATTGGCTTGGCTGATTAGAGCTCACGAGCATTATATATATTACGAAATCAAAAAGAATAAGGTTGAATGACGAGTGAGATGTAGTGGTTTGTTTAATTTTTGTACATTTTATTTCCATTGTTGGAGATTGATTGTGAATGTCTGGGCTCATTATGAATGTTGATATTGATTTTGAATTTGTATTTGTATTTGTTGTGATTATTCACATACCCCTTCATATCTGGTGTATTCATCTCTAGGTAGCCAATTTATCCAGGTATCTATCCATGTACCTAATAGCCAAGTCCAGCCCGGCTAACCTGCAAACCCAAGCAAATGAGTAAGTAATAAGTACCTAAGTAGCAAGTTTCTGCTTGATACCTATGCATTACGATATGCAATATGATATGCAATACGCAAATTATACAATTCTGTAGTTATCTGTCTGTCTGTAGTATCTGTCTGTTTGTCCGTCCTTTCCTTCCTTCCTTCCTTTCTGCTCTGCTCTGTTTGGCCTGCTCTCTTTGGTGTTTTTGGTCTGGTTTGGTATCATTTTTATCTTCTCCCGTCTGGGTTCGTGCGATTCATTGATGTGATGTGATTGAGGTTGATTGATTGATTGATTGGTTGATTGGTTGTGTCTTCTTTCATTTGTTTGTTCCTTCTTGATTTGTGTTATGGAGGTTGTTCTTTCCCATCTTTCTTCTTCCTGGCTCATTACCCCGTTGTGGGTTTTGGGTTCCTGTCGTTCTCTCTTTTGATTTTGATTTTAATTTTAAAACTCAAGTTCTGGTTTATTCGATTTTATTCGATTTTGTTTAATCTGTTCCATTGTATTCCCTTTCTCGAAGAAGACCTCAAAAAACAACTAAATTCAAAACCCACCCCCCGCCAAACCATCCCCACGCAGCAGTTGCGAGGGAAAACACGATGACGAATTGGAGGAAGAGGATGATGGTTTCGTGTTCTTCCTCTTTTTCTTGTTCTCGGGTGGGGGTGGGGTTGTGGTTTGGGTAATCGAGTTCCCAGATTTCGGAGCCGGGGAGTTCGTGGATCTTTGGAGATGGAGATGGAGAGGATGAGGCGGGAGGGATTCTCAGTTCTTCTAGTGAAGGCTCAGTGTCGGACTCGGATTCAGAAGCGGAAGCGGAAGCGTACTCAGATTCGGAGTTGTAGTCGAATTCCCAGATTTCTTTGCAGGAATTCTTTTCCTTTTTCTTTTTCGGGTTTACTTCTGGGGTGAGAAGAGGTGTTGGGTAGAGGAGTTCGACGATGGTGAGGATGTTGGGGAGATCGGTGTCAATGGGCGGTGGGGAGGTTGTTGGGGTGGTGCTTGTGGTGGGTTTGAGGGTTCCTGGAATTTCTTGTGTTGCAATTTTGGTTTCCACAAGTTCCCTGTTGGGTTCGGATTTGGAGATTATCTCTGGAGTCATGTTTGGGAAATCTGGAATCTTCTCATCTGCGTCCTTGATATCGGGGGTTTCTTGTTCGCTCTTGGAGGTTATTTCTGCAAGGGGCGATGCCGTTGCGATATTATAGGAATCTGCCAGTCGGATTGGTGCTGTTTCTTCAGACGCAGACAGTCTATCTTCCTTGACATCCAACTTCTCTTGATCATCTTTTGAAATCATCTCTGGAGCGATCGGAGTCTCTTCAAGTTCAGAAGAAGATATCTTTGAAAACAATCCTGACATCGCAGATACAGACAATTCTTCAAATTCCTCAAGCCTTTTGATTTGCTCAGACTCTTCCGATCTTCTAGGCTCCTTTTGTTCTTCCTCTCCGTCTGAAAAGGTGCCTTCGGATCCATCTTCACCTCCGGAATCCTCCTCACTACCAGATCCATTGAATTCAAATTCAAGACCCATTCTTTCTCCCACAATTTGGGAACTCCTGGTGCCAAAATCCATTTCCTCCCAAGGTACTCCCTCTTCCTCGTCCAATCCATCCAAACTCATACTCAGCCCCATGTCTTTAACTTTTCTTTTAAAAGTTGCCGCCACCTCTTTCTTCACCATCTTCAATTCGCTCTCTAGACTTTTCATTCCCATGTTCTCGGTGGAGACTTTGATCTCTCGAGCAGTAGTCTTTCGAGCCTTTGAAAGATTGTCACAATCGTTGCGCATTTTCTCAAACCGCAGCCGATCTTCTGAAAGGTTGTCAGAGTCGTTGTGATTTTGCTCAAAACGCTCCCGATCTTGCAGTTGAGATTGGTGTAGTAAGTGAGCACGACGACCATGATCGTAAGTGCGTCGTCTAATGGAGCTAGTGAGCGTTTTACGAATCCGCTCCAGATTATCATAGTGGTGTGATGGATGGGAAGACGGATTTGATACTGTAAAGTTTGTTAGTTTGGATTTCTTGGATCATGGGTGGAGTGAATCAGAATTGCTTGGAAGAAAATCTTAAGATTGAATGAAGAGAAAGGGAAGTCTTACTGAGGTTTTGAAAGGCCTCTTCAATTTCCTCGGTGGTAACATCAGGACTCTCTGGTAGTCCAAGGATATGGTAGTACGAAGTTGTGTACCGACTTGGTACTTCGGATTGCACTACTCGCTTTGGGAAAGGTTCGGATTCGGGTGATGAACTCCGGTCATAATCTATGAATTTATCGGAGGTGGTACCGATCACAGGAGCTGTCGCTGATCGTCGTGCTAAAGGTGCGACTGGCACATTCTTGATATTCATGGAACTTGAGCGAGCTGTTTGCCAATTTTTGTATTTTGTCATCTCTGTTGGAAGAGGAAGAGGAAGTGGCCGGGGTGTTTGTTGGGATGGAGAGATTGGTGGAGAAGGAAGATGAGATCTTTGTCTTCTGTGGGCCGCCATTTTGATTTTGTTTTGTGTTTTCTTTTTTGTTATTGTCAAAGTATTGATAAGTAGGTAGAATAAGCTAAGTTGATATGATAAGATAATAGAATCCAAAGTGTGACAATTCTTATCACAGGGCAAAGACAATTATTGAAGTTTGACAAGTTATTGAGATGGGAAAAGTTTGGAATGTGTCGTGACTTGCCAATCTGGATCCGTTCCTGGTATCTTTTGCAATCGTAGGAAACGTTGTAATGAAGAAGAAGAAGAAGAAGAAGAAGAAAAACCATTCCCAAGCAGATGCTTTTATGATGGAAATGATAAACGAGTGAAGAATAATACCGTACTCGCACACGCGCTACTGAGGGGAAACACTATAGTAGATGAAGGACTCGTACTAGCGAGATGATAAGAAGAAGAAGCCGGAGAGGTTGAGTGAATTGCGATTTGTGGCGTACGGTTCTGGTGGGGTTGCGTGACTCTAGCTTGACTTTAAAGGTGAAGTGAATTTCTTTTTTTTCTCTTTTTTTTTTTCTTTTTGGGAGTTGGTGCGGGAAAGTAGGAGTGAAGGTTGGATCTGGAGTTTGGGGCGTGATGTGATGTGATATGATGAAGGTGAAGGTGAAGGTCAAGGTGAAAGTGAGAGTGAAGATTGAAATTTGATAATGGGTTTGGAGTGGAAAATGAGGAGTGGTTGGAGTGAAGTTTGAAGTGAAGTTTGAAGTTTGAAGAGAAGTGAGATGAGATGAGATGAGATGAGATGAGATGGGATGGGATGAGATGAGATAAAGAAGTGAAGAAAGAGAAAGAAATTGATATCTAGAAATAATGCGTGAAGTGCGTGAAGTGATTTAATGCGTACTAATAAATTACATGTATGAGTAGAGCAATGTGAAGTTTGAGTTGAATCATGTATATGAACATAAATATAAATTGGCTGGTAAAAGCTAGATGGTACGATTCAAGGCTACCTACCTACTTGTAGAAAAAGAAAGTTCGACCGTTGAGGTTTCTTTTTCTTCGGTAGACCTGGATAGAGAGATAAGAGGGGGTTGTAGGTTACGAGTTTGTCGATCGTCATGATTCTTTTCTTTTGGGATTTTGCTTTTTTTTAATGGTGGGATGGAGGGGGATGGAGGGGTAGGTGATTAATCGTTCTGGGAGATGGTTGAGTTACTTGGTAGGGGGAGGGATTTGGAAGTTCTTTCGGGGTTGTGTTTGGATTCGTGTTGCGGAAGATGTGGTATATAGGTAGGCAACTACCTAGTACTTCAAGTTTGGAGGTTGCAGATGCTGCAGCTGTCGAGATGAAGAGGTTTTGGTATCTTCAATATACGGACGTATGAGATTTTACGGCTTGATAGCTGTACACTCAAAGCAGTTGATCCCTTTGGTTCTGACCGCATGGTGAAGTGCCTCATCGGAAACCATCAATTCAATCTTGACCTCGAATGGAAGATCCGACAAAGAATTTAGACTCACTTGCGGCAGATTACAGAAATCTTTCCTTTTACCTCTCCCATCCGTATCTAATACCACCCCCTCATATCTGGATTGCTAGCATCCGTATCCTCCCATCTCCCTTCATTCCACTGTCTGTACCGCCGATCACTTCCAACTCGACCATTTCCTCCATTCAAACTTCTTTCCGCCAAAATCCATTCTCTGAAATCTCTCTCCCTCTCCAAATTTATCCCCCTACACTCTCCCAATAGCTCCCACGCTCTCTCAAGAAACATCCACTCATCCTCAATCCTATCCTGTTCTCGAGATATCGCGTCTTGCACTTCTATTATCCATCGATTCTCCTCTGAATCTCCATTTTTATTTCCACCTCTCTCTCCCTTTCCATGTTCTCGATACCTTTCCTACCATTTTTCGTAGCTGCGAAGACCCCATTTCCTTCACCTTGTCTTTTTGAAAAGTCTTCAGCTCTTCCACGTCTTGGAAAATCCGCTTCATTTCTCCTTCTACTTTTCGCATTCTCCCCTTTGTTGACTGGTAAGCTAGGACTATATTCATAATCATTTCTCTGCTGTCGGTGTCGTCGTCGCGGAGAGTTATTGACATCCTCGGACGAGAGTTTGATAGGCGTGGAAGCAGATTCTGGATGATAATACCATCCTGGGGCATGATGGTACGGGTTACTAGTATTACTGCTCTGTCGATAATGACTGGGGAAGAAAGTGTGGGGATGGGGAAAGAGGTTGCGGACGGCGTTCATGGCTCAAAGTTGAAATAGATGGTGTGGAAGAGTCGTTTTAATATTGATGATATTGCGCGAAACTTGCGTTTCAAAGAGGGGTTTGGAATGAATCTGAGATGGGAATGCCTGATGCTTTTATGAAATGACTTCCACTTGGCTCACCAGACTTTACAGGTCATGGAAAGATAAAAGCATGACGTTCTCTAACTATCAAACATTTGGAAAGAAAATTCCTTCTCGTCCAAGAAAGTTTCATGTGATGAAATTGAGATGAAAAAAAGTTTGCTCATACTATGGCAAACCCACTGACAAAATTTATGGAGGGTTTGATGCCTATAATCTGATAAAGAAACTGGCAATCATATGTGAAAAGGGAGATCATCAGCATGTGACAACCGGTGCATTTAGAGACGACTTGAAGGAAAAATCAGACCAATCAAAACATATCAATCGCATGAAAACGCTCGCAAAATTCAACATAAAACAAAATAATTCATCGATTATCATAGGGTGAGCCAAAATAGACTCCCTCAATTCTGATCATGGCAGCTCATATCAAACGCCTTTGAGATACCCACTTAACTTGGCAAGCAACGATACCACAACCATCGTCACTAATACCCAACATCTTTCTAAATAGCCCTCAACTCAAAAATAATCTCTCGTTCTGTTGCTTTCCGATCTCTCTCTTCCAAGTATTCAAAAAGCTCAACCCATTCCTTGATACTAAGGTGCTTGTAAGGACCTTCTTTGGGATCACTAAAATATGCCTGCAAATCCTCATAGCCCTCGGTAATTTTCCATCTCTCTTCGTATATTTCCTGCACCAGTTTCGGATCGAATCTGAAATCTGATTCGCGCGCAGGTCTCAAATGAGGCGGAATGTCTTCATATTGAGAGAGTGCTGAAGCAGGGAGGGGGAATCGGTCTGAGCTAGGCGAATCTACACGTTGAGTTGTTCGTCGGAATTCTTGGTATGTGAGAATCGTATCGCTGGGTGTGAATGGTTGTTGACCGGCGTTGATTCGTTCGTCCCAGAGTTTCGCGACTTCGGGATCGGTGGGTACGGAGGTGCGGTCTAGGGAGTTGGCTCTTCGTCGATGAATGTATTCTTTGCTTGAGGGATGATGTCGACTGAATCTACTGTCGTCTTTCTGGGTTGCGTAGAAGAGATCTCGATTCTGGGAGGATTTAGACGAAGGTCTGTAAATTCCTTGGTCAAGACCACTGATTATGGATGATGATCTTGTGTTTCGTCTTTGAGGTTTTGGTTGAGACGATCCGGGAGGTGCCAATAGTTGCGGCTGGTACTTTTGGGAATGAGGATTTTGAACATCTGGTTGCTGGGGACTTTGGGGCGGGAGATTTTTTTCCGGAACAATATCATGTGCGGATTTACCTGGGCGTATATCTTCTGTGTATTCCGGGAAAAGTTCCGATGTGCCCTCGCCCACGGGAGATTGAATGAGTTCTGAAAGCCGAATCGACTTAGTTGAGCGGGAACGTTCAGGATGCCTATCTCCTTGATATACCAAAGCTTTAGGGGTAAAATCTTGAGAGACATGAAGGGGGTCGGGTAGAGCGCTATCAGCATATATCGAAGATGGAGAACCAATCATTTCTCGTAAGTCACGCTGAAAGCGCGCAGAAAGAGGTACAGGAATGTCAACATCATATTCAGAATACTTGGAGGATACTCTCCTATCATTATTAGTTGTGGATTCTGGTACCGGAAGTGCTTGGTTCGAGCCAGATGCGAGAGGGTACGCCAATGGATCAGATTCAATCTGAGATTGTGTGGCTGCTACCTGAGGTGAGTCTGATGGAAAGAAGGATGCAAGAAGATCTTCTCTAGAGCGTGCAGTCTGAGGATAAGCGGTCGAGACATCTTCATCGACCCAGATAGAGTTGCGTGTTGGCAATGATACCGCGGTGAGTGGTTGTTCTGGGTTGGGTGGTGAGTCTGATGAGGTGTCATTCAACCTAGGCCATGCCGTCGTAGGAGCAGAGTTGCTGGGATCCATTGTGAAACTTCTTTTTGAGGTTGCTAGACACTCTCTTGAGGGAAGTTGTCAGAAGGTAGTTAAAAGGTGCCGAGTCGGAGAGTAACTTCGAGTCATTCCTGAGACCACACCATTTTCGCTTGGCTATAGTTTCCAGGTCGAGTGAATGTCACAGAATCATACCACCCCCTTATACCTCGTTAAACCCATCAATCTTCATCTTCTACTTTCATAAAGCCCATGTGTAACCTCCACCACTTCCTTAACTCCTCGTCCTTTCCAACCTCCATCCCGTAATCCTTTAGACTCTCCAATTGCTTAACCTTTCCAGCAGGTACATCTAACCTCCTCTCATCCACCTCTTCTTTTTTCATCAATTCGAAGTTCTTGTACCTCAGATTCTGCATTTTCAATACATCATCAGCTGTTCATCCGCATCTCAATTATGATCCATTTCCTAACCAGACAATTTGATTCCTATCCCAAGAAATTGCACGAGGATTAACCCACCTTCACGACGTCCAACCATTGTTCAGCATTCCCAATTTCTCCTTCCGCAAGCATCACTCCGGGCGGCCTTCCGGTTTTTAACAATACTGCACAGTCTAATCTCTTCGCTGATTTGGTTATCTTTTCAATCTTTTTGACGGATGTCATGTGATGAGTTTTGATTAGAATTCTTGCTAGATTTTGCCCCAACAACATTATTACAGCTTTTTGTGTCTGTATAAATTGGACTGTACGTAAGGACTCAACGTCACTGTATCGTACTCTGTCAAGCCTTCGATTTCTCAACAGCTGCTCCAGCTCCAGCAATGCAGCCAAAATGATGCTGGAAACTTGGTCATGTGTAGACGGTGGAGCTGATTATGTCATGGAACCTTGAAGCGGCCCCTCACCCGCTAGTCTATTAAGCTAGGTGAGTAAATTTAAAAGTTCTCTTCTGCTTTTCCTTTTTCTTCTTCTTCAATTACAATCAGAATCACCACCCATTCAATGAACACAATGCAAGTTATATCAGCTTTCTAATGCGCATAGAAATGGTATAACAGAGGTACTGCAAGTGGTGAGGTCGGGCTGATAACCTTCTTCACCACATTGCGCCGATACTTCCATCAATTTTCACTACTTTAACTCTTAACACATGTTCGTTGAGCACAACAACTTGAGAAAGGTTAGTCATAACTCTCCTTTTATATATCGCCTACAATCCACAAGCTTTGTGATGAACGATTCATAGCTTTTTAACCCCGAGTGCATCGCACCCTGAAGACCAAAAAACAACAACTCTAATTTTTTCCTGAACGCTTTCAATTCTACTATCTTGTCATACAATATAACATGATCATGATCATTTGCTGACAATGCATACAGATATCTTCATTGATTGGAGGTCTTAGATAATCATCCCCCATATCGGCATGGATACTAAATTGGACGACTGCTGCTTTGCACACCTTTGCGCGATCCGTCACTGCTCTGCAGCCCTACCGAACGTTGATCACGATTGAACATTATAAAAGCAAAGCTACATTGAGCTTCGAGATTATTGTCAGTTTTTTTAAGGGGCTGTAATTGCGGAATTATCCAGGCCAGGATACTACCAACCAGTGGTTGGCAAGCCGCCTGGTAATAGAAACCATTCTGAGCGCGAAACACCACGGTAAGTTTGTAATATTTAGTTAGACAATCGGAATGCAATTTATAACTTTTACACTTGTACACTATCATTAACTCTTGTGAATGACACCACCCTTGCAATTCTTAGAAACCAATGAGATCTATTTTTTAATGTGGCTGCCCTTGTGAATAAGGATAGCTTTCAGATCCTCCTAGTTCTTTCAATGTGAGATCGATTGATGAATGAAGATATGCTCCTTTAGATGAGATTGTCAGGCCATACATGCGGAGGAGTGCTTTGGCTCCTGTATTCCTCACGTTCATGTTGGAAAGCTCCAGCAAGAAAAGGCTCATGTATTTGAATTTGAGTATCTAAGGAAGATCCGTTCTATATCACTAGTCATAACTGGTATCCATTGATGCCGAGGTCGTCAAACCTCTCCAGGGCTTTACGATGAGGTTGATATTATCACCGAAAAGAAGCCAGACCGGTCACCACTGACGAGTGAAACTAATGGCTCTTTGGTGCCAGTTGAACAGCAGCAAAATTCGAAGCTTGTTGAGTGTTGTCGATCCGCGAATGATGACATACGAAGTATACATATCCAGAAGGGGACAAAAATTGTCATAGTCGTTGACAGATTGCCTAACACTTTACGATTTCAATAAGACAACCACCGTTTCTAAATGACGATGAGGCTTTGTTAGTTCCATCAGGTCGGATCTACAGTACCGTGGTGCCAAGAGGTCCCTTATTTCATTTACCTTCCGCCTCTCCACTTTTGATGTCGGAGACATGTTGATTTTAGAGTTGATATACGAGTATGAGAGATAGTTTCTTCATACCCCACTTCAACTACCCAAATCTACGAAAAGAACCCCTTTGAAAATCCTACGTTCATTTCCTCTCGATACACATTTATATTAAACACTATCCGTGGCCGCCATATACATACATCATGGCTCTTTGCTCGCTAATATTCTCTCCGGACCCCTTAGCCAAATACGATGTAGCCAGACAACGCCAGCCGGGTTAGCTCACCCTTTGTTCCGCACGTCTAACCATTTTCAGTTCAGCCCCATCGAATTGGGACAACGTCCACTCGCTGATCCTTATTAAATACGGGGGGTGGGTGCAATTAATTCATCGATCGTTCGCCTCGATTGTGCCGTGGAATGAACCCCAATACACTTCTTACCCATGACGATCAAGTGTATTGTCGCTGAAGCGGAAATTCATAATGAACCGGAAATCATGGAGCGCCTCATGACAGTGAAATCGGAGATTTCACTGCACAATATATCCAGCAGATGTGTTATAATGCCCTATTCCTCATCTCTTCTCAGAATCTCAATTCATATCCTTTATGCACGTCTTCACTGTCACGTTTAATAATTTAATTCTCCGCTCAGACACTTGACAAAATCGCAAGGATTTCTCAGACAAAAAATGTATCTACATGCATTCCTGGCAGTTATAACTGCACCTTTAGTCCTGGCAGCGCCAGCCCCGGTTCCAGCAGCTTTCCCACAACCACAGCTTATAGGAGATCCCGTAATAGGTCTTGTGTCAAGCGCCGGGAATGCAGTCCTTGATATTGGTAGTTTGTCCTCGGCCATTCCCGCAGTGTTATCTGACAGTGGGGAAGTATTGACCGCTGCGAATTTGGTCGTAGGTGTGTAAATCATATTTCATCACGCAAAGATAATTTTATTAACATTACACAGGGGCAATTGCAAATGGAACGATTTTGGGTACTGACGTACCAGTCATTGCTAGGAAATTATTTTCAGCCGCTCAACCTACAGCCAAACCAAGTAGTGTTTCTCAAGCATTGAGTTGGGCAGCTGGTGCTTGGGGTGTATCTGATCCTTCTGCTTCCCCAACTCCACCAGCAAATATTCTCTCAACTGCTTTGGAACTTGTTCTTGATGGTTTTACTTCCAGTGATCTACAAGCTGTCATATCTGGTGCTGTAAGTCTTGGATTGTTTTGATATGTGTTACAATACTGATTTTTTTCAGAGCTCATCTACCAACTCTGTCAATAACGTGAATAATCCAGTGCCTCCCAACAAGAGATTCTACAATAACGTATATGGCAATGCACGATTTTCTGTCGACGAAAAACTCTCAGGGCTGCAATTTACATTCCTCCTGGATTTAACTGGGGCAAGAAGCAACCCGTTATCATGTCGCCTGGCACGGGCGCATTTGGCTATGGCACGTATGCTTCTAACATAGGCAAACTTCTTGCTACAACCAGCTATGCCGACCCAGTATATTTAAACATACCATTTGCTTTGCTTGACGATGCACAGACCAATGCAGAATATGTAGCTTATGCGCTTCAATACTTCTATGCCATGACTTCGCGAAAAGTTGCTATCGTCACATGGTCTCAAGGATCTCTCAATGCCCAATGGGCCTTTAGTTAGTATTCCCCAATATACTCTCCCAGATATTCAGCTAACAAATACTCCCAGAATATTGGCCATCAATCCCAAAAACTGTCACAGACCACATCGCCATCTCACCTGATTACCATGGTACAATCTTAGCTTACATTCTCTGTCCCGGATTCGAAAGCGGAAACGACATTGCGTGTACTCCTTCCGTCCTCCAACAGCAATATCAATCCAATTTTGTCAATAGACTCCGCTCCAACAACGGCGATTCCGCTTATGTTCCCACCACTACCGTCTACTCTGTCACAAACGAAATCGTCCAACCACAAAGCGGAACCGCTGCCTCGGGTTTCCTGCAAGATGCTCGTGGCGTCGGCGCTTCAAATACTTTTCTTCAAGGAGCATGCTTAGGACTTCCGGCCGGAATGCTGTATACTCATGCAGGCGTGTTATTCAATCCCGTCGCTTATGCATTGGTAACAGATGCGTTGCAAAACGATGGGCCGGGATCGTTTGATCGGGTTAACGATCAGTGTGGGAATCTTGTCGCGCCGGGGATTAGCTTGGCTGATGTTATTGAGACTGAAGCGTTGATTCCGCTGGTGGCGCTTAATATTTTTGCGTATGAGAAGAGAGTTACTAATGAGCCTGCGTTGATGAGTTATGCTACGTATTGAGTGGTGGTTTGAGAGAGGAGTTCCAGAAAGATGGATATGAATTATGATGATTTTCTTGAGCGAGTTTGTTTCTTGTATATATTGGAGTGCGCAGAAATTTATGATCGGCTAGCAATTATTTGGAATGGTTCACTGTTCTTTTCGTATATACTATGGACATGGATGGAGTCTTGGGAGTTGTTAATGAGCGAAAGGGACCGGTAACGGAGAGAGAAGGGGTTGGACATACGTATCAGTTTGTAATCATAATCTAAAGTACAATTTTTTATCTATTCGAAATAGACCACTTTTGTAATTGTTGCATATACCCGGAAATTTATAGAAGTATAACGTCCTACAGAACACTGGAATTTCTCGAGTATCAAGATCCTTCTAAGCTTTCTTTACCTAGATGGCCAAGGGTCTCAATCTCATGGGACCGAAGTGTTCTCTCTGACAGCAGTGTTTCCAAAAGTCCGGACTGCAGTCTGGTTTACGATTTTTAGCCTTGAGGTCTAGAGGATCCTACACATTTCCTTCATATCACTTTAATAATTTGAGAATTCCAATTTCTGGGAATATTCAATATTTACAAGGGAATCAATATCCCAAATTCTTTGACTGTTAGGCTTCGATATGGAAAATTGGATGTCCTGTGTGAAAGAAGCAGTATGGGAAATTTAAGTTCTTTTGAGACGTGGTATTTCTGAATGTTGGCTTTCCTATGGATGGATGAGATGTATGAGGGAGTTTTTGTGAGGTCTTGGATTGAGGTATGTATGGAGTAAAGTATCTACAGATGAGTTTAGCCACGTTGTAATGTAGGCACGGAGAACGATGGGTCCATGCGTATGGTATGGTCTTTTGTGTGACTTGATTTTGAGGATCACTTATTCTCCAAGAAGTAAATAACCCCCTTTTTCCTCGATTGCGTTACGGTTGCGATGTGTTTGTTATACTAGTTTGATGAGAAAGAATGATCGCTGCTACTCCGCTGTTTCTCCAAACTCCTGTTCAGATTCTATATCAACAGGACGTATCACACCGTGAAGTGATTTGTAGCCTGCAATTCCAATTTAAACCAGAACACAGAGAAGTAAAGCCAAGACCACACAAAGCATTAAATCTCAAAAAAAAATCTTGTAAATAATCCCAAGCATCATTCATCCGAACTGCTTTACCTCCCCAGAAAAATCCAACAACGCTACCAATACCCGAAAAAGATCGTACCACCGTATTCAAAGCAGCAAGGCCATATCCATTCATAGCTGCACTCTGTAAGTATGTAAACATACTTCTGGTAGTGACGTTACCGAAGATACTTTGAGAGATAGAAAGTCAGTTATAGATTATGATTTCGAACTCTTCGGTTTACTTACCAGCTCTCGGTCCTAGACGAGTAAAACCTAATAGATAGAGGAATGGGCCACCCCCTGCAGCGGGGGTGAAGAAAGTGACTATGTTGATAACATGGAATGCGGATTTGAATGGTTGTGCCTGGATGTATGACATGATGTTTTCGGAGAGAGTTGGAGGGGTTTGGTTGTATTTTTCGATGGCTTGGTAGAGAAAGATAGTTGTGATGGTCACTAGGAGCAATGCGATCGGTTTGAGGGATCGAGGCATTTTGCTAGGTTTGATAAAGGTTGAGGTGATTTGAAGGAATTTTGAAAGATTCCATCGTGGTTGGCCATGAGATCGGTTTTATATTGGAAGTGAAAGTGAAAGAACTTAATAGAAATCTGAAAGAGCATTCCATACAAGCAAATTAATGGCTTGAAATTGAGCGGCTAGTGACCTTCATTTGCTTATTTGTTATCTAGCTACAGTCGAAACTACTCGGAATGAGAAGGGTTTACTCAAATTGCTTTTTACTGAGCTGGTCAAGAAGTGAAATGTTATTCGTGATTTAGCAACTAGCATATTTGGATGTAGATAACTGCATATCTGAAAAATCAAAGCGAAAGATTGGACATCCAGTACTGAGGGGTTAATCCTCCTAGACCACCGCGGAACCCTTTTTTGCAGACTTTTTCAAAGATTCCTCCATCATGCTCCACAGTGCTACCTTCCCTCAGATCTTCATTCTACGCTGTACTATTTCCACGACTCCAACCCCAAACTGCAGCCACGAAGCTATTCGCACAAGCTCCGAACTGTGTAGCCGTGTGCACAATTGGTGCTCCCCAACCACCCATGGATGCGCTTTGAAACATCGCGAACCAACTATTTGCCGGCACCAAACCGATTGTACTTTGCAGAAACGATGCAAAGGATGCTATCGAAAATTAGATTCGAGTACTTCGATGTCTCGTTTTTCTCACTTACCAGCTTTTGGTCCCACTGAAGTAAAACCTAGAGCCCGTAGGACTAATCCGCTTGCTCCAGCTGGTGTAAAGAGAACTACTCCATTTACAACGTGGAAGGCTGTTTGCCAGGGATGTTCCAAAATCCATCTCTTAAGTCTGTTTGGCAGATGCTCCCACTCAATTTTGTACCATTTAGCATGCTCTTCTCTCGCCTGCTCTCGGAAGGATTCCGGAATCAATGCAAGTTCTGCGTCTGTGGGCTCTTGAATTATAACGCCATGCTCCTTGAAAGCTTTATCGACACCAGTTGTCCATTCTGAGCGTAGAGCTTGGAGCTCGACAGAGTCGTAAGCTGAGAGATCTTGATCGGTATGGCATTTTTCATTGCTAATTTGGGTTGAGGTAGCTGTGCTTGCTAAGAGAAGCCAGCTCATGAATCTGGAGAGCAGTACCATAATCGTAGTGAGTGTAAAGGTTCAAGCCAGAGAAAGATGGTTCATGAAAACTTGAGGGGATGTGTTTGCTTGAATAAAAGATACTGGACAAACAAAGAATCGGATGTGAAAGCGAATGTTTCATGGCGTCAAAAACAACCAAAAGTAAGGTTACTTCGTCCTGTTCCTAGCCTTATGCATGTCCCCGACTAGACGATTCCCATGTGCATGAGAATAGCCGCACACCAATCATTTAAATAGGGCTACACACTGGGAGTTCTTCAAATTTCGACAAAGTAAGGGTATATAAAGTGTTTGAGCGTGGATTGACATAGGATATATTACAGATTGAATATCCTGAAAATGTTTAATCAACTTATAATCTGAACTGATGATTATCTGATATCATATCAAACGTTGAAGAGTGTGTGCATTTCGTGTCCCTATTTGCGATAGGATATAATAACTAGGTAGTCTTGTCCTTCTCCAAAATCGTAAGCAGCCAATAGGCCCTCATTGGTTGATGATCTGAGACTCAGCAGAATAACCACCATAAACCTTATCTTAACTCCAGCAGGGACTGAGACTATTTTTTAAGTTTCTCGATTTGAAAGTTGTGATCAATCTGGAATTTCTCTGTCGTTATGGTGGTTAAGGTAAACAACGTCCTTGGAATTTATTTATTTCAAGGGGAGAGAAGGAGTTAGGAGAGCGGGAGATTGACCGATGAAATCTGCAATGTCTGAATAACAAAGTGATATTAAAAATTTGGTATTAATGATGCTATCGGCTTCAACTAGAAATTTATCGGCTCTTGATCAAGACTTACGACAGCAAAAAACTCACAGCTTCGCAGTAAATTTCCTACCTGCATTCCGCGATCCCCACATCTCACCAAAAAGACTACTTGCAGCAACAAAAAGTTTTGTTACTATATTTACAGCGGTAGCTCCATGACCTCCCATGACAGCACTTTGAGCATGGTCATATACGTCCTTCGCACTGACCGTGCCATATTTTCTCTGTAAGATCGATGCAAATGAAGCTATTCAGAAAGTTAGCGCCATAACTATTTGGGGACTGACCACTTACCAGCCCTTGGACCTTTGCCCGAAAATCCTAAAACCCATAGAATCGGACCACTAGATGCAGCTGGAGCAAAGAATACGATTCCATTCACAACATAAAATGCTGTTTGGTATGGATGTGCCTTAATCCAAATTTGGATGTCCACCGCTAGTTTGTTCCATTCGATTTGATAGACTCTTGCATGCGCCTTCTCGACCTCATCACGAAATTCAGGGGGCAAGTCTGCATAGGCTGCTTGTGCAGTTCTTCTGAGCGAAATACCGTGTTTCCTGAAGGCGTCAACAACACCAGTAGTCCAGTCGGCAGCGCGTTCTTGGAATTCCATATCTTCTGGGGAGGAAATTGAATCCACGAGGCGACCATGTACCTTCTCCACTTTATTCCGAATTTCTGGAGGCATCTGTGCATAGGTCGCTTCCATCGAATCTTTGAGTGCGGTACCGTGTTTCTTGAAAGCTTCCACGGCACCGCCAATATCTTGAAATCCAATCTTTTGAAGAGAAGAAAGTGCTTGCGCGAGCGGAGGACTATTCCTCGTGGCTTCAGTGGGGGCAGCGGCAATTTCTGCGAGAGTTTGGGCCCAAGCAGCGATGTCTCGAAAAGTAGCCATAGCTGATTGTAGAGTTTGATGTATACAAAGTAAAATGTTTTCAGATATCTTGATCTTAGATTGTATGGGAGAATCAGGAGTAACAATAGTCAATGGGAACTTTAAATGGGATGGGAATCGTGTCAATGAAAGTGTAAAAACTAAAAGATTTCGCTTCTGCTGCACCTTATACACATCTACTCCGCCGCGTAGCGGTAGCCACCTTTCAGAACCCAGCTTTGTTTCATGTCTCGAATATCCTCTCTTGAAAGCGTATCTCTAATTCCTTCTCCGGATTGCTCAGTGTTGTGACAGTGTGGGGACAGGAGAAGAGGCGGTGGGAGGGAAGGATTTTGTGCATTCTCACATTGTCTGCATGGTTTCCTCCGAATAGACCAATACATGGAAAGACAACAGTGTATACTAAATAGTGGATGCTAGTATTTAGGAGCATTATTCTTTCCCAGACACCTGAGTGTCTGCTACCTCTATACGATCCTAACAAACCCCTATTTGGTTTTGACAGTATTCAAGAAACTCATCTGATTGGTGACGAGAACAGCTGTACGCCGCACTTGCAGAATCGGAGGATCGGTGTGATAAGCAGAATCTCTAGTTGAGGCGGATAACTGGTATCAATTCTAGCAAGTCGTCTCATGTGATTCGATGAGTTTCACGTAAATATGAAAGCGCAGTCGTGAATAAAATTATGATTGAAGTGAGTGAAGTGGCTCGGTGGTGGGTTGGAACTGGCATGTGGTGCTCCAAGCTTCCGCGCCCCCGCAACGCGCCTGCAACGCGCCTGCAACGCGATCTTAGGGAAATTTATGACCTCAATGAACCACAGCTTAGTTGCTACACACAAGTCATGTTTGGCTGATGCGCCCTGAAGAATGGATATGCTGTGAATCAAATGTGCCGTTTTGAGTTATTGGGTACTATTCTATTGTTATATTACGACTTGGTAGATTGGTTCGCGGGTAAAAAGAAAAGCCAGTACGAGGAACCACTACACTCCACTGGGATTTCTGAGTTTGCTGATTGTAAAAAAGATCTAATCCTCAGCCAAGATGCTCCACGAAATACTCCTCTCCCTCTCGGGATATCCTTCTCCGCTCCTCACTGCCGATAACACATCCTCATCCTCCATCCTGTCCCCCTCCGAAAAGTCCCTCCTCTCCTCTGTCGCCCATTTGAGTGATCTTCACTGCAAGCTCCTGGCGCACACAAATACTATATCTTCAAAGCACTCTTCGAGTATCTGCCAAGCTGTCGCTACATCTATAAGCTCCGTACATCTTGCAAGCTTTCAACGCAAAGTGCTTGAGGTCGAGAATGGTATTTTGCGCAAAGATGCTGGGAGCGTTGGTGCATACAATATTGTGCCGTTGACATTTATCGTGGAGAAGTTCTCTGGCTGGACGAGGCGAATGGAATGGTTTTTGGAGATTGTGGACTTTATGATGCAAGATGTGGGTGGAAAGAAGTGCAGTGGGGCAATGGTCATTGATAGGTTGTGCAGTGCTATACAAACGGGATATGCAGACATAGAGGAGGCAGCATTAAGTCTGGTGAAGGTTGCGCAGACAGCTTGGCTGAAGCAGGTTTCGGCCTGGATTCTATATGGGCGGTTACCAAGTTTCGGACGTGGTGACTTTTTCGTACAAGAAGACGATTCACATGTATGTTTCCATGGTTCACAAACTACGAGGGATAAACAGCTGACTGGTCGGATAACAGGACTACATGAACGTCAAAGAATTGTTACCGGCGTTCGTGTCAGACTCTACCGCATCATCGCTTCTTTTCATTGGACGATCCTTGAATCATATTCGAGTCAAGGGCATCTCATCTTCGTCCTCCCCGGAGCTTGATCTATTATCATCTCACTTGCGACAGTTATCAACAATCAAATTCCCAATAAATGGCGCCAACTTCGCACGAGTCATAGCCGCTATACGTCTCTCCCTATCTCAAACTACTTTACAGAAGCTGCTACCCTTAAGCAAAGTAATTGAGGCCCTGACTTTATTACGGGAATTTTTTCTACTTGGCAGAGGAGAATTTGCCATAGCGTTGATATCTGAGGCTGATGAAAAAATCCGATCAAGATGGAGAAGGTCTGACACCTTAGGCTATGAGAAGAAGGATGGTCTGGGTAACATCGTCGTTAAGGAAGGGGAAGTCACTGCAGTCCTTGCTAGGACCTGGGCTGCGATGGGCGCACAAAAGGGTCAAAATGACGAAGAGGATGATGACGATTTGCTTGAACTTGCAAGAGACCTTGTTCAGTTGAACATTATGAAGGGGAATACGAATACGCCAGGGAAAGCCAACTGAGAGCTTCGCAATCTTCTCTAATTGTTCCATCCCGTCCGAAACCTCTTACTTTCCGTTCCTGTAGCCCTCACACTTCACATTCCTTCACCATTAGATCTGTTCCTTACTCCATCTGATACCCAAATGTATTCCAGCATTAATGCTTATCTTTTAGCAGTCCATAGGGCCCATCTACGGCTCACTAATCTTTGGAAGATAACTTCGTTACGTCGCGATCATCCTGCACCTCCAGGTCCACCTTTGGGTAGTTCGACGTTTGGTCGACAAAAGGTTCTTACACTTCGAGCTAGAGCTAAGGAGCGTTCTCACGCTATGCGCAGCGTATGGGCAACTAGTAGCGCTGCAGTCTTCTTCCTAGGCGAGACGGAAGCATACCTTCAAGGCGAAGTTGTGCAAGGAACTTGGTTAGGCTTCACAGCTTGGCTTACAGGAGAAACGCGTGCATCAAGATCCCATGATGAAGATGAAGATATCTGGTTGCAGGCTGCCAATCAATCAACATCTAGGAACGCTAGCCACAATCATGATCCTCAAACACTTGCAGATGCACATAGGAGATATCTCACCGCTCTCGCATCCAATCTCCTTCTGACCACTTCAACATTTACGGATCCACTCTATTATCTACTCCAACAAATTGATCATCTAGTCGCTCTTGTCCACCGTATCCACTCTGTCTGGCAATCTCTCGATCTCGAGGCTGATGAAGGAGTGGTAGATGCATTCTCTGACTTTCACAAAGAGGAACAAGACATCAAAGAACAACTTGGAACAATTTCAACGCGTGTAAAGGACGCAATTGAAGAATTAGTCAAAACTCTACGGGATATAGATCAAGATAAAAATGGCTGGGACAGTGGTTATGAGGAGTTGGTCTTGGGAGAGGAAGGTGCATACGTTCCAGCTAAGGTTGGCAGAGTAGACAGACTGCTGATGAAGCTTGATTTCGGAGGTTGGTTCGATAAAAGAGGTAATGGGGAAACAGGAGATGTTTTTGATGATTTTGGTGATGATGAATAATGAATTGATTGTTTTTTGTTTTTTGAAATTCCGGGGCAGAGGATGGAGGAAGGGACAATACCCAGGCGTTCAGGCACGAGTTATATTATTTTAGATTCACAATTAAGCGGTTCGGTCAAAATTTATGCTAAAGTCAACTTCTAGGAGCACGATCTTTTATTAGATTTAAGTTAAGACACAAATCTGCCCTAGGAATAGCATTCTCAGTGCAGTTGCCTTTGGAAGAAGCAAGGTAAGGGAGGTAGTGCCTTTTCCGTTCGTCTGATTTGTTGTTCCTCCTTGATCCGCCCTTTTCACTCATATTTACCTCATCACTTCTCGGACTCCCAATTCCTCATGAAAATTCCGAATTAGAACATAAATTTGTTCCCCAATCAAGGTTCTATGCTACTTAGAGACTCTCTAGCTCTTTTGCGTACAATTCCATAGCTCTAGCCCGTTGAATAGAGCCTTTTGGGCTTCTCGGAAGGGGTTTCTGTGGTTTGGCAATCATGATGCATTCCTTCCGCACCCAAGCTTCTTCTCTGTACTTCTCATTGATACCATTAACAATAGTCCAAATTTCTTCAATCAGCTTTTCTTCATAGCCAAGAGCTGTCGCATCAATGCTATCTTTCAAATCAACAAGAAGTGCAGTTTTGGTTGCAAATCTCTCGTTGAAAAACTTTCCAGCGGGAACCATAACTCCATCCTTGACATCAGGATGGTTTGTCACTGCATGTTCCATAAACTGTGGATTGAATGGACGAGTTGCCACATTATCCACAACCACCAAAATCATATCGTCGGTACGCCCACGGTATGTCCATAACCCTTCCTTTGTGGGATGAGGAGAGAATAAATCCTTGGTAGAATACTCGTTCAAATCCGGATAGAGTTTGAACACTGGTTGTTCAAACTCAGGATCGGAATTCCGTACGATGACTGCTTCATAAAGCTGATCATCGTCTGAGAAAGCCCGATATTCCAAACCTGCAGCAGGATGAGTACATTGATATTTCCAATCTTCTGCCGGCCATTCTCCTGACTTATAGATATTTAGAAATAGGGATGTTTCCGTAGAGCCATTCGAATTCCAGAATTTGAATTTAGAGGTTATGATATCGCCGAATTATTGGGGTAAATCGCCGCCGCCATACCATATAACGTCGAGTTTCCGGGCCATCAATTCTTCTAAGATTTCGGGATTGGTCGCAATCTCGTGTACCATCCATGGAGGTGCACATAGTGCGTCTACTGGCGTGTGTTTCATAATCTCGACCAGCGATGAGGCGGTAGCTCGTTCCATTGGTAGAGGGAATATGACAATGTTCTGATTGGCTAGTGATTCGGATAGTGCGTTTATGCTTGATGCCTATCCTGCAGTTAGTGCTCCGTCGACTTTGGGACCCTTACATAACCTCAAACAGATAGTTGAATGAACTAGATATACTTGCATGAAATGGTGGAAGGTTCATAAAAACTCGTGTGCCTTGGTACTGCTTTTCTCTCGATTCAAAACCCTCAGGGGAAGCCAATTGCGCCATTCTCATATATGTCGATACAAAGCCGTGAGGATAGATAACAGGTTTCGGTAGACCAGTCGTTCCGGACGTGTGAAGACAAACCAGAGGTTCATCCTTGGCCTCGTCGAAAGTTTTGCTAAAGGGAAAATGTTTGTAACTTTTATCTAGAAGCTCGCTGACATTTGGAACAGTAATGGTGCGTAAACTTGGGCATGCTGTCAAGTAACACGGGCACTCCTATTGGAACAGGATCTGTAGTTGCTAAAACTTGACAGTCCAGTGCGTTGAATAGACTGGTGTTTCCCTCATTACTGTTATAAGGCGAGACGAGAAGTATCTATCATTCACGCATCAATATATTTACGTACAAATATCATAAAATCACATACTTTATAGCCGGCTTTCACTGCACCTAAGACCATAGTAACATATCTCAGATCATTCCAACCCATATAACAAATAGTTGGAAAATCCTTTCCGAATCCAGAACCAAGCTGATCGGTTAACCACCACGCAATACCATTCACGGCATTTGCAAGCGCGGAATATGTGACTTTTCGAAAACCTTCAGAGTAGCTGGTGGATGAGATGGGTGTTACGGCCCAGAGTGCGTTGGGTCGTGTTCGGGCCATGCCGTCGATGATATTGTTCAGAAGCTGTTTTTTGGTTGGGGCATCTTGGGCGTATTTGGGTCCGGGGTGCCCTTCGTTGAATAGAATTGTGGCCATTGCTTTTCGGTGTCTTGGAAGTAGGAAAGGGAAAGTGATCGTAGAGATTGAGGGTTGTGAGATGATATGTAGTGCTTGGATGTATAACAGTTGGTACCAACAGACTACGCAATCATACTTGGACTGCCGAACTTCCACCCCACCAACGTACTTTGGATTTGCTGACTGCGTGCTGTCAATATTTTTGGAATGAGGGCTTATTGATGTTACTTTAGGTTGCTGGACCGCCTAATTGCATGTGTACTCAAATTGTCAGCTTAGTGTCACTAAAGACGAATAACTGCTGAACCATCCGTGAATTCACGCCACATTCGCATCATAACACAAGTAATCATCAAGTGAATGTAGCCTTCCGGCACAAGTAATACATAAATAGTAGGTAATTGAGCCAATAGTGAAATTAAGTTTTGTTGCATTCTTAAGATGCGCAACAAAAGCTTCGATCCCAGTGAATTTCTCAATCAAAGTCATGAAGATAACGCCACTGCGGAGTCTTGTTGCACATCTGACGGAAATGCGAATACAATTTCGGGTACTCTAGCACTTTGAACCAATCCCATACGAAAATCCAGAGTGAGGAGTTGTTTCGAACCATACTCAGATATACAACAAAAGTGCTTAGCTCAAGAGTTCACTGTGGCATCGAGTATATAAGAAAGACTGGGAGAATACGAAAAACGTTTCTATGTATTTCAGCGCCTCTTCGACAACCAAGCCTTATTGTGATTTGTGAAAACACTCGAGGAAGAATAGCCGAGAGATCTTTCGAGTGGTCATTCAGTTTACTAGATAGGTCACCATCTTTAGACGCCGTTATCTCTATTTGTTGTCGTCAATTCATATTCTATCGCCAAAGTCAGATTTTATCCATCTTTTTTCGAACACAACAAATTTCGAAGGAAACCTTTTCTTTGAAATACAACCCTTTCGCGATCGATTTAGATCATAATTATTAAACCAAATTGATTACAATTATTCCCAAGTGATTCTGATTAGTAATTGTTATAATACTATTGTTGGCATTTCAAATACAAAATGTACACAAAAATTCGCATAAAATTTTTATTTCAAATTATTAAAATAAAAATAAAATCTTCAATATGAATTGTCTCGATAATCCATCAATATTTAAGGATACAGCTATAATAAAAGCTTTTTCTAAAGCCTTTATTATATCAAACACTTATCCTATTATTATTCTAGGTATCCCAATACCTTTAAGCCCTTCCCCGCCTTCTAAAAACCCTCAATTCGAAATCTCTAGCCCTATTCTATTAACCAACCAATCAACCAGTTCTAGAAAAAGAATTGAAGAGTTTAATCTACTTAGTAATCCTTTTATTACTCAAGATACAATCAATACTATCTATACATTCAATCAGAATAAGAAACAGTATTCTACAATACCCCTTAGCAATCAGAAACAAACAACCTAGAATACAAAACAAAGCAATTATACTAAAGAAAGCAATCCTAAAAGCAAGAGATCTTATAATACTAGCCTCAACTCTTTCTCAATCACGTGATGAGCAATCGAAGCTATTAGATCTCCTAGAGATTTTTAGAGAATATATCGAAAAAGGAAAGCTCACTATAGCCTCCAATATTATCGTATCCCAAATCACTCACCTCGAATCAGCTACACGGAAAATCGAATCCCAAGCTAAAACATTAGCTAAAAACCCAATCCCAATTATTATAATATTAATTAAATCAACTTTTGTAAGTATAATAAAAGAAGAAGAATGGAATCTAATTAATAAAGGAAAAGCTATTAAGTCTATTCTAATAGACAAAAAGATTGAAATCACTCAAAGATGTTTAATCCTGATTAAACTAGAGATTACGAATATTATCTCCTTTTATCTATATTAATACGAGATCAAATGAACAAAGCATTTCAGAAAACTGGAATCAAAGGCCCAGTTATAGCAGCAGTAATTCTATTTCTGAATAGTAATATAATAATTACTACAAACACTCCTTTTACATTATAATTTCTAATAGAAAAAAAGGCAATCTGAAACAATCTTATCAAATTCGAAAGAATTCAAAAGGATCAAGAATGGTATAAAGTTATTATCCACAAAATCCCAATAAAAGAATTCTCAGAATCGAAAGGAATGGATCTCATTTTAAAGGAAATCAAAACCTTCAATCTGGATTTCAAGCCTATAAGAACCCTTTTTGATTTATATTATTATCAAAAAGAGCTTATCAACAGAAAGGAGCTATAGTGATTGCTTTTACAACAAAATCAGAAGCAGAGCTAGCTATTCAGAAACGATTATATATTGCTGGTATTAATACAAGAGTAGAAAAGTTCTACAAATCCAAACCAATTATACAATGCCTAAAATGCCAAGGATTTGGACATCAGGATACACATTGTAGAAGGAACTCCTCCTATAGACTCTGTGAAAACAAATATATAACATTAGTACATTTATATATAATATATAATATCAAAGGAAAATTCTATCAATATCTTGCTACTCAATACTCGAATTGTTAAGAAAATCATATAGCAAATTCAAAAACCTGTAAAATCTACCAAGCAATCCAATAAAAGACAAATAATACCAATATATGAGTTATATCAATATTCGAATCCTTTAAATAAATCTTAATAGAAGCTTATAAGTTATAGAGAATATTCTATAGCTTACAATAGAGCTTAATATTGACCTTATTATAATTCAAGAATCTTGGATTATTAAAAATGAAATCGATTATTCAACTTCAAGATCCATTATATATTCCAATTTCATACAAATACTATCAAGATTCGATTCTAATTTTCAATCCTGTATACTATTTTATACTTTAAAAACACTTCAGGCTACAATCAATCTAGCTCCTAATTCTCCAATAGACCCCGATATACAGATTTTTAGCTGCCAAAATGGAAATAAAACCTTTCAAATTATCAATATATATAACAAAGCCAATCAAACCAAAAAGAAAGGTTTCACAATTGAAAGATATCTATATAATATATCTATCTCACAAGAAATCATCCTATTAGGCGATTTCAATGCTCATCACCCTTGGTGGGACCCTTTTTCGAAGAAAAGCGAAAACGCTGATTGATTAGCCGAATGGTTTGAAGATTAGAATCTTACTCTTCTAAACAAATCTGGAATCAGTATTTTCTATCGAATTAATCTCTTTAATCCAAATGTTCTTGATTTAATACTAATATTAGAAAGAATCTCTTCCCAAATTTATAATTAGCAAACTCTTTCAGATATAGGATCCGATTATGCAGGAATACTATTCGAATTGAAAGAAAAAGAAGATCTAAACGCCTTTAATTCAGAATCAGCAATTAGATTCAATACAAAGCTGGTTAACTGGGAAAAATTTGAATTAATACTAAAATTAGAATCCCTATATTCCCTATTTTTTCTATTTTAGACTTAATAACTTCTATAAAAGAGGACTTACTAAATTTCCTAAAAGATAAAGATAATTGCTATCTAATTCTAGATTAAACAGTAAGCGAACTTATCAAGATTATTCAAAAAGCAATAGAAAGGTATATATCCAAAGTTGTTTTAATCAAAAGGACTAAACCGTAGTGGATATCCGAATTGAAAGATCTTCGAAAAGAGCTAGGAAAAGCAAAGTAATCAATTGAATCAAATCGAGAGAACTCTAACTTTAAGGAAGAATATCGAATCATTAGAAACAAATACTTTCAAGCTATTAAAATAGCAAAAAAAAATCATTGGAATGAATTCCTAGAAAAGAAGGATACGCAAATAATTTTCAAAATAATAGTTTATACTAAAGATTTCTAAGATCAAAGGATACCGGATATTACAATAGAAAGCTCTTTTGAAGGAAAATACTCTACTTTCAGATCGACCCTATTCCCACCCCCTTCTATCATTTCAAAATCATAATGGAAAGGGTATAAACAATCCAGAAAATGGGAATAGCCTAACCTTTCTCAAATCGAACTAAACAACACCTATTCAACAAAGATACAATGTTCAAACAAACTAGACTTTATCTCTCAATATTAAGCCATTTATCAAGCACATTTCCAAAAAGGCATATACTCCTTATTTATTTCCCCTACTCCAACAGGCTTAATCCTATCAAACCTTGTATTTACAAAAAGCTCTCATTACGCTGATGGCGATATATGCCCCTAATGCATTAAGCGGTTCCTCAATCTAAAGGGTACTTCTCCTCTAAGTAGTCATTAATATCTTAAGGGCTAGTATACAGCCCCCATCAATTATAAGATTGTTTATAGACTCTACCCTTGGTGTAATCAAGGAATGATTTGAAAGGATTGATAAAATAGAGGGGGAGAGATAGGAGATAATTGAGATATTTGTAATACTAACAGATAAACTTATACAAGAGTTCTAAGGTTAATAACACAAACTCGCCGTGAAGTTTAAGAGTACAATCATTTCTGCTCTACTAGGAATAACGGAGACTATCCTTGATCAAGGGAGAAAGCCTGTAACAAAGCAATTACAGCCAGAAAGCAATATACAGAAAATCTACATTAATGCACTAAAAACTCAGATAAGGCTTGAGGCAGTAAGCCCTATCACAGGTTTTATTAATATAATACACTCTATTTCTAATAAAAGTATAAACACTAAACGCTCGGGAGCATGCAGACTCAAAAAAAAGAATAATCGAATCGAGAAAACAATCCTTATAATAACTAACAAGAAAGCTCTACTCTCAGAGATTAGCCCCTTTCTACTAAGATTTAGAATAAAAGAGGTAGTTACTAGGATTACATTAGCAGAGATTCTTTTTTTTTAGAGGAATAATATAGACTAGATATTAAGGTACAGCTTTAATACTAATCGGGAAAAAATCATGAAAACAGAAAATATCAAGCGGGTATTTAAAACCCTTTATATAACAAGTATGTATAAATTAGAAAAATGGTTTATATATACAGTCCCACAAGTATTATACAATTTCTATTACATTGAAGATGCTTCTACTCCTATACCTAT